TGAGCTGTCCGGCCTGGAGCCCCTGCGACAGGTAACGGATCCCAGTCAGAGGGCACCCCACGCCCAGCGCCGGCTGGGTCCACCCCATGGTTGCCAAGTGGGAATGCGAGCCCAGTGCGCTGAGATCTGGTGTTTCCAGAAAAATAAGAAAAACCAGAGATCCAGATTTTAAGTAAAATCTTTCCAATATTTTCATTGGCAGTTAATTTAAAAACTAATTTCAAATGCGATTACGGTCAAACAGAAGTCCTCTGTGAGCCAGGGGCCTGCAGTCCCCGCGCCGGTGGGCAGACCAGAGGGCTGGCAGCTTCCTGATTCCCCACCAAACCCAGGGTCCTGCAGCGGACGTGGCTCTGCAGGGGTGGCCCGGCCATCGCCACCCGGATGTGAGGGTTGCTGCCGGAGCTCGGCCTCACCCTGTTTGTTCAAGGAGGGGTGAGAGCGGTGAGCTGGCCCAGCAGGGGCCAGGTGGAAGGGAATGTCCCCCCCCCCCCCCGCCCAGCACCCCAGCCTCGATTTGGGGGTGTGCAGCCTGGCACCCAAAGCCTGAGCTGCCTGGGGAGGCAGAAGGAAGGGGCCGTCCTCAGAGAGGCGGGTGGTGTGGCCAAGAAAGAGATCGGTGGTTCCAGTCCCAGTCCTGCCATTAGCTGCCTGCGTGGCTCATTGCCCTGCCTTCCCGAGCCTCTCCCTCACCTGCCCGAAGGTGAGAATAGCAGCCTGGTCTCCCAGGGCCTACGGACCAGCGGCAGTGCCTTTTGATGTAAAGGCCTTCAGTCTTCTTTGGGAAACCAGAGGGAACCGGGTGGGGGAGAGGAGGCACTTTGGACACAGTGGGAGCTGGGAGGTGTGGGCTGCGGCTCCGGCTTCACTGTAATGAGTCCCTCTCTAGAGTCAAGGAGATCATTGGGTGGAGCCAACAGCTTCCCCAGTCGACCGACCGTCCTTCTCTCTCTGTCTCCAGGGGACCAGGGAGTCACAGCCAGCCTGCCTGGGGCAAGAGCAAGGGATGGTCCCAGGCCTCTCAGAGGAGGTGGCTTTGTTTCCCACTGCAGGTCCAGACCCTCAGGCCGGAGAGCCTCCTGCTCGTGTCCACCCTGGATGGAAGTCTCCACGCACTAAGCAAGCAGACTGGGGACTTGAAGTGGACACTGAGGGATGGTGAGCAAGGGGCGGTCACCTCTTCCTCCTTGGACCCCGGGTTAGAGTGGTGTCACTATGGCACAGAGGGTCAGAACATGGGGTCTAGAACCCCACGAGCCAGTGTCTGCCGGCAGCTTCGCCACTCAGCAGCTGTGTGGCCTTGGGGAAGTCACTCTACGTCTCTGAACATCAAGGTCCTCACTGTAGAATGAAGCCAAGGGTAATGGCCCTCCCTAGCAGAGCTCTCAGGGAGATTACAGTACCCGCCGGGCACGTGCTTGGGTTGGGGCCTGGCAAGCGGTAAGCGCCCAGCGAGTAGGAGCTGTGATTGTTGGTGGGAGTCGGAGGGGGCAACTCATGCTCCCCGTGCCTCCCCTGCAGATCCCATCATCCAAGGACCAACGTATGTCACAGAGTAAGTGAACCTGCGGCCTTTTAAGGAGGGGTACCTGGGAGATGGGGGAGCCCTGGTGTCTGGAGGGAGTGTGGATGGGGTGGGGATGCATGATAGACGTAAGGGAGCACTGGGCCCACAGCTTTGTGGTGCGTCCTTCAAGGGTGGCTCCTACTCACTACGAAGTTGGAGGGAAAGGGCACCTTTGTGAAACCAGGACACGTGCCTCCAACCCCCCCACCCCCCATTCCTCTCTGCTCACAGAACGGCCTTTCTCTCCGACCCCGCTGATGGCAGCCTGTACACCTTGGGGACCCAGAAACAACAGGGATTGATGGTGTGTGTCCTTCAATGCTTGGAGGTGGGAGGGCCTGGGGCTTCTGTTAGGCAGAGCACTGAGGGGGCAGGGGAACAGTCTGGCCAGAATCTGCGTGTTCTGCAGAGGATGCCAGGGCTCGGCACATAATGGGAAGGCTGTACAGCCTCATCCCGCACACGCTCACCTCTCACTCCTCCAGCCTCATCCCGCACACGCTCACCTCTCCCTCCTCCAGCCTCATCCCGCACACGCTCACCTCTCCCTCCTCCAGCCTCATCCCGCACACGCTCACCTCTCCCTCCTCCAGCCTCATCCCGCACACGCTCACCTCTCCCTCCTCCAGCCTCATCCCGCACACGCTCACCTCTCCCTCCTCCAGCCTCATCCCGCACACGCTCACCTCTCCCTCCTCCAGCCTCATCCCGCACACGCTCACCTCTCCCTCCTCCAGCCTCATCCCGCACACGCTCACCTCTCCCTCCTCCAGCCTCATCCCGCACACGCTCACCTCTCCCTCCTCCAGCCTCATCCCGCACACGCTCACCTCTCCCTCCTCCAGCCTCATCCCGCACACGCTCACCTCTCACTTCTCCAGCTCATCCCACACACGCTCACTTCTCACTTCTCCAGCCTCATCTCACAGTGCCCTCTTTCTTGTCTTTCTCACTTACTAGGGGAGTTGGTGTCTGCACATTGTACCATCCTGGAGACTCAAGTGGCTGGAGGGGCTACCGCAGCCTGACATCCTGTGGCTTGAATGAATGAATGAATGAATGAGTGAATGAATGAATGAACTTCCCGCATCCACAATAGGTGCCCTCAGTTCCTTTCAGGAACACGGGCCTTACCCATCCAGGTGGTGAGGGCCTCTTGTCGGTGGCCCTCTATCTCCAGGAGCCCCAATTCTCTTCCCTCAGGACTGTGTCCCTGGGATACGTCTGGCAACAGCTCTGTAAATGCAGTTTTGAGCTTTTTCTGTGTGTGTAGCTTTTCATTTTGATATAATTTCAAATATAGGAAAAATGCAAGAATAGTACAAAGAAATTCTTTATTCCCTTCACCCAGATTCATTGATTTTTTTTTAAATATATTTTTTTGATTTTCCACAGAAAGGAAGGGAGAGAGATAGAGAGCCAGAAACATCGATCAGCTGCCTCCTGCACATCTCCCACTGGAGATGTGCCCGCAACCCAGGCACATGCCCCTGACCGGAATCGAACCTGGGACCCTTCAGTCCGCAGGTCGACACTCTATCCATTGAGCCAAACCGGTTTCGGCTAGATTCGTTGATTTTTAACATCACATTTGCTTTATTGTTCTCTCTCGGTAGATGATAGATTAATAGATAGAATGCTGAGAATATTACTTTTTTTTTCATGTAAAATGTCTTTTTCCAAACCTTTCAAGAGCGAGTTGCAGGCACTGTGCCCTTTACTTCTAAAGCGTCGTTGTGTATTTCTGAGAACAAGGCCTCTTTCCCACGCAGCCTGCGTGTAGATGACTGAAGCCAGGAGGGTTAGCCATGGCGCATAGCATTGCCTATTCGCAGCGCATGTTAACTCTGTGAAGTGTCTCAGTGTGTCCCTCACTGTCTCCTGGCCCAGGGTCCCCGGCCCATGTGGTTGTCGCGTCTCTCGGCGTCCTTAAGTCTACAACCATTCCCCGGCTTCTCAAAGGCATAGCCCAGCTACTTAGCCTCTCTGGGAAATGGAAACAATAACAACTACCTCATGGATAGGTTGGGTGAGTTTTTCTGTTCTTACTCCTCCCTGGCATGTTTCCCTCTCCTCAGAAACTGCCGTTCACCATCCCCGAGCTGGTCCACGCCTCCCCGTGCCGCAGCTCCGATGGCGTCTTCTATACGGGTAAGCGCCTCTCCAGCCCCAGCCTGTGGGGCCAGGCCCAGCACCAGGGACGGGGACCTAGGTCCTGACGGGCCAGCTGGGCACAGGAGGAACAGGCTGCACATCCTCTCCCAGGCCATCTTGAGGGCTGGCACGCTTTCCACCTCCACAGGCCGAAAGCAGGATGCCTGGTTTGTGGTGGACCCGGAGTCAGGGGAGACACAGATGACACTGACCACAGAGGGCACCTCTACGCCCCGCCTCTACATCGGCCGCACGCGTGAGTCAGGCCCCAGCTGCTCCCCCAGCCCCGGGCAGCCCCCTCTTTTGCTCTATCCAGGCCTGGCAATTGCTATGCAAGTTGAGTTGGGCCAGTCTGTCAAGTTGTCAGTCAACGAGTATTTCACTGAACAAAGAACTGGAGATAGAGCAGTAATCAAGACAGACCAGGATGCTCCTCCCATGCCCCCGGCCTCCACCCCAGGCTGGGTGCTCAGAAGCCCCACCCCCACAAGATGAGACCCGCCGAGGTGGGCATGGGAGGAGCATCAGGTGGGCATGCCTGGTAACCTTGCTTCGGGGCATCCTCAGAGTACACGGTCACCATGCAGGACCCCCAGGCCCCCGGCCAGCGCTGGAACACCACCTACCGCCGCTACTCAGCGCCCCCCATGGATGGCTCCCCTGGGAAATGTGAGTGCCACCTTTCTCTGGAGCAGTGTCCCCAACTCAGGGATCCCTGAGTGGCATCCGTGACCAAGCTCACCACATTTTTACCCATTTGACCACTTCAGGGACCCCACATACTGAATGACCCCCTCAACACCCAGCAGGACCCTCCTGTACCTGAGCAGCCCTGACATCTTCACTCCTCCGTGCTCCACGTGAGCCACACCAGGTCTCCCTACATCCTGGGTGACTCCAAGCAACCCACACATCCTGGGGAGTCCCCAAGCACCCCAAGTGACCCCCAGTGTTGAGTGACCCCTAAAAGGTGACCCTGAGTGACCTTTCCCCAGATAACCCTGACCACCTCCTTGATATTATGACTGTCCTACCAGACTTCCTGATTTACCTCACAGGTGCCCCTTGGCACCCCCTGGTCCCCTGACTCCATCACTTCACCTGAGAGATGATAACACTGACACATCGCCAGTGGCACCCCCAGGGCCCTGACTAACCTCCTTCACACTCTAAGTGATACCCAAGTCACCCTGATACTCATCCCAGGTGGTCATCAGTCAGAGCATGAGTGACTGACTGCTCCACATTCTAAGTGATCTCTGCCAAGCAACATGAGTCACCTTCAGATGACCTTGACTGACCCCTACATCCTACACAGCTCCCAGTTGACCCCAAGGATCAAAGTGCCCCCAGTGAACTGACTGACCTTCCCATGTCCTGCAACCCTCCAGGTGATCTCATCTGAGCTCCACACCTGAGTGGCCCTCCTGATGGCCCAGCCCCAGAGCAGCTCCCCACCCCAAGATGCTGTGAGGTACCTCCCGTCAGAGCTCCCTGGTCACACCTCCATCTTTCTTGGCAGACATGAGCCACCTGGCATCCTGTGGGATGGGCCTGCTGCTAACTGTGGACCCAGGAAGCGGGGCAGTGCTGTGGACACAGGACTTGGGCGTGCCTGTGATGGGCATCTACACCTGGCACCAGGACAGCCTGCACCAGCTACCCCATCTCACCCTGGCGCGGGACACCCTGCACTTCCTAGCGCTCCGCTGGGGCCACATCCGACTGCCTGCCTCCCGCCCCCAGAACATAGCCACCCCCTTCTCTGTCTTGGACATCCAGCTGCTGTAGGTGCTCATGCCTGGGGACTGGGGAGGACCCCCTGGAAGGGTTGTAGCCCAGGCCCAATGGGCAGGCGTGATGTCTGACCATGACATACCAGTACAGTTGAACTAGGGGTCAGAATATTTCAAGCTGGCTATTGACCAGCCAGTTTGGCTATTAATAAATAACTAGTGTCCTCACCACCCCTTGTGTGTTCCAGGAACCCCCAGAGAGCCCCACTGTTCAGCAAGTGACAGGGTCACATCTGGCCGAGGAGGGACCTAGGTCTCCACTCCAGTGCCACAGCGGGCACCTGTTCTGCTTGGCAGGTGCTGCGCCTTATTGGTTGTTTGAGACTAACTGTCACCCTGCCTCAAAGCACTCAGAGCCTTAGAGTCCCCATCGTAGGGAGCCGAGAGACAGGCTGGGAAAATCAAGGATTATCCTCTCATTCAGTTTGTTCTGCAAATATTGAGCACTTACTGTGTACCAGTCACTTGTTAGGCTCTGGGAGGATAGTAATGCTGTCAGTGTTCCTCCCTACAGAAATCTTAGAGTCTAGTAGAGGAGCCAGGTGAGTAAAGAGGCAATTGTGGGATGCCAAAGGGTGGGATAAGAGAATAGGTTTGCCATGGGCATGCACGGGAAGAGCACCTACATTGAGACGGGGGCAGGAGGGAGTGGTGGGACACTTCCTGGAGGAAAGGGCATCTAAATAGAAACCTAAAGGATAAATAGGAAAAGGGGGGGCGGCTTCGAAACAACAAACATTTATTATTTTTTTAGATTCTGTGAGTCAGCTGGCTGGTCTTCGGGTCTGGGAGGGTTTAGTTCATGTGTGCGGTCAGCTGGTGGCTTGGCTGAGTGGATGCCCTGGGATGGTCTCACTCCCCTGTCTCATAGTTGATCGGCTCTTGCCTAGAGGGTGTCAGGTAAGGTCTCTCTGACCTCATCAGGCTAGCCTGGGCTTCCTCCATGGTGGTCTTGGGGTTCCAAAGAGCAACACGAGAGGACAAGCCCCATTACACAAGCACTTCTAAAGCCTCTACTTGTACCACATTTGCGATGGTCTCATTGTCCAAAGCAAGTCACATGGCCAAGACCAGAACTGATGTGGGAGGGGACAATACAAGAACATGGTGCAACGGAAACAGCCACAACCACTACTCATCCCTCCCTTCCTCTCCCCCACTAGGATGACGCTGTATATAGGGAAGGATGACGCTGGCTTCTATGTTTCCAAAGCACTGGTTCACACAGGGGTGGCCTTGGTGGTGAGAAGGGGTGTCTGAGGGGCTGGAAAGAGGGGATGGAGCAGGAGAGCCCCCTCACTCATGATTCTCCATCTTCTGCCATAGCCTCGTGGACTGACCCTGGCCTCCATGGATGGCCCCACCACAGATGAGGTGACACTTCAAGTCTCAGGAGAGCGAGAGGGCTCACCTAGCACGGCTGTCAGATACCCCTCAGGCAGTGTGGCCCTCCCTAGCCAGTGGCTGCTCATTGGTGAGATTCCCTAGCTCAAATTTGGAATAGATGACGATGAAGGATGTGATCCTGGCTTCTGATCTGGAAGACAGAGGTCACCTTCAGCCCATGGACTTTTTCCCTGCCCTTTAGGACACCATGAGCCACCCCCAGTCCTGCACACCACGATGCTGAGAGTCCATCCCACCCCAGGGAGTAGAACTGCTGAAACTAGACCCTCCAAGAGCATGCAGGCCCCAGCCCTCTTAATGGAGGTCAGTGCTAAAAGTGCAGAGGGCACCCTGGCTGGTTTGACTCAGTGAATAGAGCGTTAGCCCACGGACTGAAGGGTCCCAGGTTCAATTCCAGTCAAGGGCACGTAACTCGGTTGCAGGTTTGATCCCAAACCCCAGTCAGGGCATGTGCCTGAGGCAACCAATCGATGTGTCTCTCTCACATCTATGTTTTTCTCTCTCTGTCTGTCCCCCTCCCTTCCACTCTTCCTAAAAATAAATGGAAAAATATCCTCGGGTGAGGATTAAGCTAAAAAATAAATACATGAAAGGGCAGAGGGCTTGGAGGGAGACTGGCATGTGAGTGGGAAGCTATAGGACATTTTCCTCAGCCTTCTATGATTAACATTTGGAGTGGGTCAGTTGACCTCACACAATTTCCCAAAAGGAAAACTATTTTTGCTGTTAGATGTGTCAAAAAGATATTGGTCATCTAAACTGTGAAACATGGGTCACAGTTTTCTTTACTCTTCTTCAGTGTAAAAGTTACAAAATGGTTATCTAGTGAGAAAATTGAAACAGAAAAACTATAAAAGCATTCTCTCCTAGGACACAAAAGGACAGTCGCTGGGCAAGTGACTACAAGAATCACTAGTAGTTCAAGGTTAGAAGGAACAGCCATGCCTGGCCAGCGTGGCTCAGTGGTTGAGTGGCAACCTATGAACAAGATCAAGGTTCGATTCCTGGTCGGGGCACATGCCTGGGTTGGGGACTTGATTTCCAGTGTGGGGCCTGCAGGAGGCAGCCAATTAATGATTCTCTCTCATCACTGATGTTTCTGTCTCTCTCTCTCTCTCCCTCTCCCTTCCTCTATGAAATCAACTTTATTTTATTTTTATTTTTTATTGGTTTCAAAGAGGAAGGGAGAGGGAGAGAGAAAGAGAAACATCAATGATGAGAATCATTGATCGGCTGCCTCTTGCACTCCCCCCACTGGGAATCAAGCCTGCAACCCGGGCATGTGCCCTGACTGGGATCAAACCAGCAAACTCTTGGTTCATAGGTGGACGCTCAACCACTGAGCCACGCCAGCCGGACTATGAAATCAATTTTTTAAAAAATTTTAAAAGAAGGAACAGCCATGATCTGGAACAATAATTCTCAAATCTGGTTGCTCATTAGAATCACTGAATGCCCACTCCAGCCCCATGAATTAAGAATCTCTGGGGAGAAAAATAACCTCTGGAGATGGATATCTACATCTTTTGTGTTGCCTCAAAAAGTATTTTTTAGTGACACCCCGCTCCAGCCCCATGAATTAAGAATCTCTGGGGAGAAAAAGAACCTCTGGAGATGGATATCTACATTTTTTTGTGTTGCCTCAAAAAGTATTTTTTAGTGACACACCAGGAGATGCTGGTCACCAGCTAGGTTTGGAAGCCCAACCTCCTGGGGCACCCTGATGCTTCAGCACCATGGAGAGCGCCCGCTCTGCACCGTGCGGGTTACTCATCCCTGCCTCTTCAGCACCACGGAGAGCGCTCTGTCCCCCATCAGTCGGGCCACTCACCCACTGGTCCTTAAAGTAAACCCAGCCCTGTACTGGTGAGGAAGGGTGAAGGGTTCTCCAGTGAGAGCAGGTGCTGAGCAAAAGCCCGTGTGTTCCAGCTCCTGAGTCTGAGTCGGGAGGAACTTTGGGACCTGGATCTGCACCCTGAAGAGAACACCGCAGACTTGTATCTAGGACTGGGACCCCAAGACCTGCTGGTGGCCAGCCTCACTGCAGTCCTCCTGGGAGGGTGGATTCTCTTCTTAATGAGGCAGGTAAGCCTGTTACCCAACCTCGGGTCTGCCGTAGTGTAGCCGAGGGAGCACTCTGCCCTCCTTTCCAAGACACTCAGCAGCTCCGATTCTGCTCCCTGCCTTCCTCCCAGTGGCGCCCGAGCCCCTGTGCTGTCTATGTTCATGGTCTGGTGCAGGGCGTCTCGGGCACAGCTGCTGGGCCCCCCACGGGCGGGACCTAGCCAGGGCTGAGCCCTCCTAGGCCTGTGTTTCAGCAGCAGCAGCTGGCGGAGAAGCAGCAGCAGGCCCTCCTGGCACCTGCGGGCCCCCCTCCTACCTCACAGGGTGCTCTGCCCCAGCTCCCAGGGACCACCCCACAGGACCAGAAGAGGCTGCAAAGCCCCTCTGAGCAAACCCAGCCACTTGAAGACCCTGAAGGTGAGCTTAAGTGACAGGAAAGGGCTTGTCAAGGACAGAGAAAAGAGAAGTCGGTTTGTTAGAAGCCACTAGTGGAGTAGCTGAGCCTGAATGAGTTAAGGAGATATTTTGAATAGTGCCTGCTATGTAGTTGAGCACTCTAGAAAGGTCTGCCGTTCTTTTTTATTATCATCAAAGATTCTGGGTCAGACAGAACTGGGTGTGGAGCCAACACTATCTGTCACATGGAAATGATAACACCTAGTTACATCACCGCATTGGGAGAGATCACCACCATCATTATTACATCACACAGAGGTGCCCTGGCCGGGTGGCTCAGTTGGTTAGAGTGTTGTACCTTGCACCAAAAGGTTGCGGGTCCAATTCCCAGTCAGGGTACATACCTAGATTCTGGTTTCAATCCCCAGTGGGGTTTGTACAGGAGGTAGCTGATCAACGTCTCTCTCTCTCTCTCTCTCTCTCTCTCTCTCTCTCTCCTGTATCTCTCCTTCTTTCAAATCAATAAAAACATATCCTCAGGTGCGGATTAAATTTTTTAAAAATCAGCCCTGGCCAGGTGGTTCAGTTGGTTGGAGCATCGCCCTGTGCACCAAAAGATTGTTGGTTCGATTCCCGGTCAGGGCACATGCCTGGGTTGTGGCTCAATCTCCGGTAAGGGCCATGCAGGAGGCAGCCAATCAATGTTTCTCTCTCTCTCTCTCTCTCTCTCTCTCTCTCTCTCTCTCTCTCCCTC